ACACACACACACACACACACACACACACACACACACACACACACACACACACACACACAACATCATAGCACGCATTTCCTGAATTACTGAAATGTTTGGTGTGGCTAAAATCAACATGCACACAATTAACACCACAACAGTCATGATGAAGACATCTTTGAAAGCTTAATGTGCTTTTTTTCATTTGTGTTTGAGTTGTCTGCAGGACACAACAGGACAGCTGCATGTGTGGAGCTGTGTTAAAACCTGATATTTGTCTGCTTCCCCCCTCAGCTGGTGGATTCTGTAGAAACACAACATCTCTGCCAAACATGTTAAAACAAGAGGAGCCATTTCCTGAATCAGTTTGTGGTTTCTACAAAGGTTTAGTGCAGATATTGTGTAACAAAAATACACAGACGGTTAAGCTATTTCACATCACTTGGAGACACAGCTCCTGAGCCTAAACTGGATAAAATATCCAACACCAGGGACAGACTTTCCTAATACTAGGTAGTAATAACATAGTTATAACTCTTTTTATTTGATGTTATATCACAGCTGAAAACCTGCAGCGGTTTATGGGAGCTGCTCTGGGTTTGTGGGAAAAACTAAAATGCCCATTAACACAGCGCACAGAAACAAACTTTACTCCAATAATGAATAACTGCTAACATTTGTTTTCAAAGTGTTCGGATTTTGAGAAGAAAGAGGTGAATTGAGTCGCACTGTCAAGGTGAAACCCAACCATCCTCCAGGTGAAACACACTGAGGGGGGGGGGGGGGGGGGGGGCGCTCACCTGGAAACCCCCACCTCATTAGTTTACGACCACCACCGCGGGCCATTTTTGCACTTAACTCTTGAAATAAATCATTTAAATTTACCTCGTCGGGCTGCTTGAAGCCTCCTCCGACCGTTTCTCCGTCACATTCCGTCTAAAGAGCATTTAAAGATGTTCAGCAACAGGTCAAACCTTTTGACTCCGCCGTCCGACTTCCTCATCCTCTCAACCCGTTCAGTTCAGCACCAGAAACCAACAGCGACACTGAAAACACGGGCGAAAGAGTTTCAAAATAAAAGCACTTCCGGTGAGCGCGCGCACTGCATGGACGGCTGCGAAGAACAGTCCACTGTTCTTTTCAAAATGAAGTCCTTCAMACATATATCACTGATTTATAAATTGAAATACTGTGGCTACGGCGGCTGGTGAAAAGTACATTTGAGTTGAAAATTACRTCTAAATCCAATGGCAGTTAGAACTCAAGCTGATTAACATATGTAAAATAAAATAAAAATCTCAATTTAATGCATAACTTTCAGCAGTCTGCTGTTTGTGAAACCATCAGACAAATTCTCCCGCGCAGTCTGTGTTGTTTTAAACTTTCTTTTTGGGTAATTGCACAAATACCTTTTCATCCATTCCTCATTTCCCCCTCATTTCTTTACTAATAGGTTATTTCTGGTTTCAGTTCTCTAACACAACACTCAGACTACTTCTGCTTCAGATAACACCTGACTCACTCAGTTCATCCTTAGTGAAGAACAGCGGGTAAAATAAGTATTGAACACGTCACCATTTTTCTCAGTAAATATAGAGGTGCTAATGACATGAAATTTTCACCAGATGTTGGTAACAACCCAAGTGATCCATACATACAAAGAAATCAAACCATAAATGTCCAGAAATGAAGTTATTTGTAATAATGTGGAATGGCACAGGGAAAAAGTATTGAACACGCTTACTGAAATTTATCTAATACTTTGTACAAAAGCCTTTGTTGTCAATGACAGCTTCAAGACGCCTCCTGTATGGAGAAACTAGTGGCATGCATTGCTCAGGTGTGATTTTGGCCCATTCTTCCACACAAACAGTCTTCAAATCTTGAAGGTTTCGTGGACCTCTTCTATGAACTCTGATCTTTAGTTCTTTCCATAGATTTTCTGTTGGATTCAGGTCAGGTGATTGGCTGGGCCATTCCAGCAGCTTTAGTTTCTTTCTCTGAAACCAACTGAGAGTTTCCTTGGCTTTGTGTTTGGGCTCATTGTCTTGCTGAAATGTCCAGCCACGTTTCATCTTCATCATCCTGGTAGATGGAAGCAGATTTTTATCAAGAATGTCTCTGTACATTTTTCCATTCATCCTTCCTTCAATTATTTGAAGTTTGCCAGTACCATATGCTGAAAAACAGCCCCACACCATGATGTTCCCACCTCCAAACTTCACTGTTGGTATGGTGTTTTTAGGCTGATGTGCAGTGCCATTTGACCTCCAAACATGATGTGTATTCTGGCATCCAAACAGTTCAATGTTGGTCTCATCTGACCAGACTATATTCTCCCAGTATTACACAGGCTTGTCTAAATGTTGTGCAGCAAACTTTAAAGGAGCTTCAACATGCTGTTTCTTCAGCAGTGGAGTCTTGCGTGGTGAGCGTGCAYACAGGCCATGGTGGTTCAGTGCATTACTTATTGTTTTCTTTGAAACAATTGTACCTGCTAATTCCAGGTCTTTCTGAAGCTCTCCACAAGTGGTCCTTGGCTCTTGGACAACTCTTCTGATAATTCTTTTCACTCCTCTGTCAGAAATCTTRCGAGGAGCACCTGGTCGTGGTCGGTTTATGGAGAAATAATGTTCTTTCCACTTCTGAATTATGGCCCCAACAGTGCTCACTGGAACCTTCAGAAGTTTAGRCATTCTTCTGTAACYGATGCCATCATTATGCTTTGCAACAATAAGGTTGTGAAGGTCTTGAGAGAGCTCTTTACTTTTACCCATCATCAGATGGTTCTTGTGTGATACCTGGTCATCATTTGGGACTGAACCAGCTGATATTAACTTGCACTGACAAGGGGCAGGCTTGTTTTCTAATTACTGAGAGAGTTCAGCTGGTGTCTTGTCTTTCCATGCCTTTTTACACCTCCCTTTCTTCATGTGTTCAATACTTTTTCCCTGTGCCATTCCACATTATTACAAATAACTTAATTTCTGGACRTTTATGGTTTGATTTCTTTGTATGAATGGATCACATGGGTTGTTACCAACAACTGGTGAAAATTTCATGTCATTAGCACCTCTAGTAATAAATTTACTGAGAAAAATGGTGACGTGTTCAATACTTATTTTACCCGCTGTACATGGTTCCTGTTCATAAGTCTTTTTTACATTTTGTAGGCAGTTTTCTAGAAAATGATGAGACATTCTTCAGAAATTAACTACAAAAAAGGCTTTGCAAACATGTGATGATCCATGAGTTTGCATTTTTGTCAAACTCTGTGGTGAAACAGATTAATAATACAGCATCTTTACATCAAATACGTTATCCAATTCAGGAATATTTCATATGTACATACATGATGATGTCTTCCATATTTAAATTCAGATGTGCTATTCTGTGCACACGATGAAAGCAAACAAACTGCTGTGACAAATATAAATAAGTGACGAAAATAAAGCGATGTGAAAGGTATAATGATGTGGATGGAGTATTGCTTTTAGCTGTAGTTTTTTTTATTGTTTTTCACCCTGAGAGGTTCAGAAATGAGTTGGTTGACACACAGTGGGGAAAACATCCATGAGCTCCTCTCTGGTTTAACCTGAAACACAAGAGCTGAATTTGTTGAGCAAATCTGCTTCAACAAAACTGAAAGCAATGAAAACATAAAGAAAACACATAATTTAAAGATGAATTTTTAAAAGATGGATACTTTTGACAAATTTATTTGCATAAAGAGTCCCTGCTGYGTTTGTCCTGATTCCTTTTATTCATTTCTTTATTAATGGATTTTTAGGACGTCAGGTTTTATGTCACCCAGCTGTCCATTCGCATTCGTTTTACGGTCGGACTCTCCCGGCCCTCTAACCGGCCCGCAGGGAGCGAGTGGAGGTCTGGGCGTCGCTGCTGCTGCTGCTCTTCCCGGTCGCTGCCGTCCTCGTGGGAGCCGCAGGACGAGTTGACGCTGTCTGCAGGGGACCTGCCTGTCTCTGCTCGCGAGGATGAGGAGGAAGGATGAGGAGGAGCGTGTGGATGCTTCGCGTATGGCTGGCTGAGGTGGTCGCGTGGTGGTGAGATGGGCTCAGCTTTGATGTTGATGTTGTGGTTTGAGTTGATGGTGAGATTAGAGCTTCCTGACCTGCAGACACAGAGGCAGAGGTGAGTGGGAGGCGGGGACTGTGGAGGGGAAGCGCCACCTGGTGGACAAAGTCTATCCTCAGTAAACTGATTAAAAACAGAACATTTCTTAGATTAGTAACTACTAAAATGCAACACAGTAGAATAACTTCACAGTCCAGCCTGAACTGTAACATATAATGTAAAAATGAAGCAGGTATTTAAAAACATATATCTTAATTTGCTAATAATAAAAAATGTAATGGAGCGGGCAGCTTGGATGACAATGGGAAGCTGTAACAGTTTTAGAAAGTGAAACTTCCAGAACACTTGGAGATGAATCGAAGAAGATCTAAGAATTTCAGAATTTGAGACCAGAAAAGTTCAGGTCTGTATTTTTTTTGGGTCAGATTATTCAGTCATGGGTGGAGGTGGGCTTTTTTGCAGGGAGTGCTACATGGGTGGCCAAGGTCAAATAAAGAAAAGCAATCTGGATTTGAAAATTCAGTATGGCTGCCACAGCTAATTCCAAATGAATCTGTTTTAAGAAATATTGAGCTGAAGTTTTGTGTGACAGTAGCTAAGAATGAGCCAAACATGCTGAATGAAAGTCACAACTTGTTATTTTGCCATTTTTAGACACACAAAGCTGAAGAYAAGTGTAGAAGTAGCCAAAAACAAAGTTTACCAAATTCTAAATGCTAATCAAAATTTCTAGATGGCCACCCTGGCTAGCTTTAAAAGGCTATAAGTCAGCGATTTTAAGACTTATTGTTATGAAATTTGTTGTGGAGTAGCTAAGAATGATCACATGCTGATTGTCGATGCTTATCCCAGATTATGCTAATGACTAATGCTAAATTTAATTTTACAAAGGGCTATATAATTCAGCCATTTTTAAACACACACTGCTAAAAACATGTATACAGTACAGCAGTATCAGAGAACAATCTTTAACAAAATCAAAACGCAACTACAAAATACAAGATCCCCACTCACTTTTGTTAATTTGGGGGTGGCACCTAAGGTAGCCAATCAGGTGCCAGAGGTGGCGCTTGCCAACCCTGGCCACCTCTCTGGCTCCGCCCCTGCGTGCAATGCTTTATAACCAAACAGAGTTTTACACTCAGTTCAGTCAGAAAGCTTACACTGGTCATCACTCACCCTAAAGAGCCGAGCTGGTGCTGCTCCCATGGTGCCATGGAGCCGAGAGAGGAGGCAGAGCTGAAGCCTGACATCTCTGCGCTACTCAGGGAGTAATCTGACAACAAGAGACGACTGGTCATATGACTGATCTCAAAAAAACACTAAACTGACTGTCATTTACATAAGCTTTAAACAAGTATTACATATACAGTCCGCTCTAAAAGTATTAAAACAGCAAGTCAAATTCTCTTTTGTTGTTGTTGTTGTTGTTGTACACTGAAGACATTTGGGTTTAAGATCAAAAGACGAACATGAGACCAGAGTGCACTTGCTTTTCCAATACTTTTGGAGGGGACTGTATTATAGTCTTTTTAATGGTCAGTAGGAAGAAACAGCATCCACAGATTGCAGTCAGGTACCGTTGCTGTAGGCAGAGTTGATGCTGGAGTAGGCCAGACTCTGGTGAGGCAGACTTGGTGTGGTGATGGAGACCACAGGTGTGGACAGAGGCTGAGTGGACTGAGGGCTGCTCAGCCTCTGGTTACTCTAGAAACAACAAAATAAATCAATTTAAACATTAGACTAAAATCTTCTTTGGTAACCACTGTGCTGCAAATAGACTTGGTTAGTAGTGATGGGCCGTTTGAAGCTGAAGCTCCAACAAACGTATAAAACAACAACACAGCATTTCAGAAGCACTTCTGCATCCAAAGCTTTGAAAGTGCTGCAGTGATGTCACTGCTTTAGTATCTGATTCAGAGGTTTATAAGGAAGTCAATCATCATCTGGATTCCTTTTGTGTTTTGGTGGCAAATTCGCACAAAATATTACAAAGTGAGTAACATACAGATGGAGCCTTGTGTGTTTTATGTGTTTAGTTTACCAGCTTATAAGCACTTACCCCAAAGAAAGAAAGACAGAAAGAAAGAAAGAAAGAAAGAAAGAAAGAAAGAAAGAAAGAAAGAAAGAAAGAAAGACAGAAAGAAAGAAAGAAAGAAAGAAAGAAAGAAAGAAAGAAAGAAAGAAAGAAAGAAAGAAAGAAAGAAAGAAAGAAAGAAAGAAAGAAAGAAAGAAAG